AGAACGCACAGCGCACAACCACATATATATATATATAGATATATATATATATATATATGTATATATATATATACACACACATGCAGTATGCAGTATGCAGCAATCTCACGCACATAATGTGTATGCATAATGTGCATTGACATGTGCATGTACGTATGCACATGTACGCGCATCGCAGCCGTCGACGGTTTTTCTGCTTTCCGGAATCATGTCTTACAAGCGGAGTGGGGTCTGGCTGTCACTTGGGTCGGACCGTTCACCCAGTTGACTTTCAAGCCGATCCACAGAAAACTGCAGGTTATAGATCTTCCCAGACAGTCGAGTGTAACTCAAGCCGTTTATAAGCCGAGGACCCCTGAGTTGAAGGTTTGACCCAGTTGTGCTAAGGCTGCCTCGTGCAAGCGCGGGAGTCGGAATCGAAGATTCCCGCCAAGGGAATCAAATCTTCGGTGAGCCTGCCAGGAGCGCGAGCGTTTTCAAGCCTTCCACCTGCAAGCGGCGGCTCATGCCGCGCAATCCCTGCTTGAATTTAGCCATCGCAATCGGTTTATTCGCCATCTCATACCTTGTGAGATTGTATGAATTATGCTGTATGCTTTGAGTTCTAGGGTCCTGGCTAGAGACCCGTTTTTGCACGCTTTGGCGCTGTTTCCGATTGGTTTGCTGCAAATCCCGTACAGGCCCGCGTTAAGATTCACAGTCCTTGTATGTCCCCGGTACTGTAATCCTGAAAGTACTCCCCACCGCAATTCCGGCCAGAAATCGCCAAGCATTCTTGTCTAAACACCTTCGACAACCACTAGTAGTACTTGTCATGTTACGGCATGTTTGTCACCTATCTAGTCTTAGTTCCGTTGTCCCTGTGAGCATCTGTATGGTTCAATCTCCGGGAACCCCACTCACTTCGACCATTAAAGGTCACACCGTGGGCATCCATAGGCTGAATGTTCAGCAGATACTGAAGCGTGCCGTTTGCTTCAGCCCTAATATAGAGTGGACTCGACCATGTTAACTCCAAGCTTCTGTTACCTGTTATCATATAGAGCCCGATGACAGTGTGTATGACCTCTGCGATTCCGAACCAGGTCACGCTGCACTCGCGGGCAGCGTAATACGTGCGATAATCCCTACACAAAGTGTGCTGAAAATTAAGACTCGCGTATCTGCGATGTTGTGCGACCTCTCCTCCTCTACGACTCCGACAATATCCATATCTGCGTAATCCGTACGAGTATTGTCCAGCCTGTAGTCCGAACGACAAGCTCCAATGCAATCTGCAGCTCTGATTATGCACGCCGCATTTCTTCATAACATCAAATCCTGAATTCTTCTGTGAGCCCATTTTCGCATGATCGTCCGGAAGACCCTCGCCATGCACGTGATAAAGGCCCCAACAGTGTTTCAGCAACTTGGGATGCATGGATCTACCTGACGAATATTGCGATTGCTGCAAAGCCTCTGCGGATCGGAAAGCATATAGGCTTCTCACAATCTCTCTAGTCCGAGTATACATATATATATATATATAGATATAGTTGAGAAGCTTTCCTGAAACAACATCTGTGCCTTCAGCAACTGGACGGGAACAACCGTATTTCTTTTATGGCGTTTGCAATTGCAAACTATGGAGGCTCAGGCCAATATACGGGTCCAACAAGCTAGGATGATCTAGCATGTTTGGATCAGATCTGATGCTTGTAGTAGGCTCGTACAAGAGATCATTATGTTTGAGCAGGCTCCCATTTGCGCAAGCACGTACACACACACACCCACACACGGACGCCCACGCCCGCCCGCACAGCCGCACGCCAGCACGCCCGCCCGCAGGCCCGCACGTTCGCATGCCCGCATGCGCGCATGCAATCGGATCACTCGCTCGCTCGTGTCCTGTTCGGTTCGGCAGCACTTAGGAACAGCGTGCTGATTGAGAAGGTGCTGCAGCGATACCCCAAGGCCATCACCATGGCTTCTCAGCGCGCAAAGCGTATCAAGGTTTCATGACCCTCCCTCAGTGCTAAGTCCTGCAAAGCCCTCGACTGCCCACCTTGCCAAGGAGATGGAGTCGTTTCAGCTTTTCCATTTAGCCCGCAGCAGCCTGCCGAAGGCCAGGTCCAATACCCGGACCGTCTTTTGGGATTGTGCTTGCTTTTCCCTTACGGAATGTCGAGATGTTTTTCAACAACGTCTGTAACTGTATAGCCTGTGTAGTGTAATGTCGCGCTCTGTTATGTTAGGATGCCGCTGCCGTCCTTAATGTATTTTCCTGTGCTTGTTCAGGACATTACGTGTTAGCGTTCGGCGGACTTGTTGGTTTGCTCCTTCACTTGTGCTAAGGCTGCTAAGGGTCAGTCTTAGTTGAGTAGAGGATAACAAGAGGCCGGAGAAAGCTCATCTTCTCAGGCCTCAGGCTAGTCGATGTGGGGGGGAGTGGAGAGTATGATGAAAAGGTCTTGAAAGTGAAGATCCGGGTGTGTTTTCGAGCTACTGTACTACTACCTTACGAATTTGTGTGCTCCTGTACTTCTACCATATTCTTACTTCACAGCGGTAACTCAGTAGTATGTAGTACTACTACTGTACTATTCCTGCACTACGGCTGCTGTACACCCTTCTGAAGAGCCGATCTCCCCTGCAGAGCCAGGATGCACCAACCTCACGCACCCTTGTCAAGAGTGTATCTCCCTCCACAGTCCAACCCCCACATCCCATCTGAAGAGTCTTCGGAAGAGCTTATATGCCTCTACAGCCTCCGCGCCCGACCCTGGGGGGCCCCGCTAAACGAGTGCAACATGGTTTGTTTGTTGCACATGCTGCGCCACGCCCAGGGCAGCATCAAGGCTGCGGCTGCGGTCGTCAACGTCGCGAACCGCCCAACAGGACCGCTAGGGCCTAGCGAGGGCCAGGGCTCTGCTGGTGCCGTTGGCCGTTGCTGCATTTTGCTGCTGCAATGCCCGCGGGTGCCCTTCATATATTCCGACGCAGCTGTACACTCAACTTCGCACATGTGCATGAGGGCCGGCAAATGCCGGCTATCTAACAGCTCGCATCTTCCAGCGGTTTGCCTTCGAAAACTGAAGTTCCCGTACAGGAGATGTCGTAGACGGCGAGGCACTGGGAAAATGGGCTGGTGAGACACATCTTGTAGGGCTGCATGGTCAGACCAGCACATGATTTGGACTCTAGTTACGATGACTTAGATTTTTACTTCACATTCAGTTGCATCCAATCAGCTCTACTTGAGGTCGCTTATATGAATGCCATGAGACATACAAGGGCTTGTAGCAGGCGCTTCGCTGCGCTGAGCGCGACGGAGGCCGAGCTTTACTCCAGGCCAGAGCCGCCGAAGCGGGGAAAGCACCTTTTCTCCTCATTCCGCTCGTATTCGCTCGCAGGCTCGTGTCGTCTTAAGCTGCTACAGCTACAAATTTCATTCACAGCAACGGCAGACAGGCCCACGGACAGACAGTTGTCGGTACAAGTGATCTTTGCGCAGGCCTTGTCGAAGTTGAAGCTGTGATGTGCAGCGCTACTTATCGCCATGCGAAGCTTCGATTGGAAGGTTTGCTGGTGCGCGAGTGGAAAGAGGTAGAGCTTGCCGAGGGAGATCATGCAGAAGGTTCTCGACGTTTCTCCATGATGGGACTGTCACAGATTGAAACCCTCTTGTCAAGAATCTGCTGAGTGTCTTTGCCATGGCTCAAACTGCTGAAGCGAGAGGCAGAGGCAGTTCGGACACGTCCCTGCGCAGTCCTCAGAGGTAGATACTTAGCTTGGCTACAGTTCCGAGCCTGCGGCCATGTTGCCGGCAGGCTCCTGCAGGTCGCGGCCAATACACCAGCGAACCCTGTCTGCGGGAGACCGGTCGTGCAGAGCCTGGCCAGAGTCAGGCACGTCAATGCCACTGCGTTCCGGAAATGGCCGAGCTTCCGGCGCTGCTCTCGCCTTGTCCGTTGCCGGGTCAGTAGGTGTGCTTGGACGAACCTCGCGAATCTTCTTGCGAGCAGAGTCCAGAGGCCGACGGCGTAGTTTGGAGGGAATACCCCTTTACAGCCAGCTGAGAGACCTTTGGCGCCGGAAACTGTTCGTTTCTGCTGCGTTGGCGCTGCTCATGGGCCTGCTCTGGGTTTGGCAAGGCTTCCAAGGGTGGCAGCACCTCGGCTCTGAAAATCCTTAGCACAGTTGCTTCAGACTCCAGACTGTATAGACTTGCCGAAAGCAGATCGACTGAGGAACCTCAGAGCCTTCAATCTGAGCCTGCCCTGGTACAAGCGACTGCCCAGCTCAACAGCACTGGAGAGCTGGATGCTGGGCACCCACCCTGTGGCTCTTGTCGCAGGGAGGAGGATCCCTGTCACCTGGAGCACTTTGCAAGGAGACTTTGGTATGGATGCGACCTTCGTCTCAAGAGGCCAGCTACACCGGCTGCTCACAGCATGCTTCCTCCACCACAACGTCTTCCACATCCTCTTCAACCTTGGCTTCCTGCATCCTGTTATGAGTAGCCGCCAGCAGCGCTAGCATGCACATGAAGCTTGATTGAGCCAAGGTACACCTTGGCTCCATTAGAGGTTGGCTGCCGTGGGGCTTTCCTGACCACCTTCATACTTTCCGGAATCGCAGGGAACTGGGCTTTTCTGCACTATGGCACAGCTCGCTATGCTGTTGGGGCCTCTGGTGGTCTATGTGGTCTTATGGGCTTCGAGCTGGTGTCCCTCCTGCGAAACCGTCGAGTGCGTGAGTTCAGGGCACTCTTGCAGTCAGTCTTCGGCATGCTTGTCATGGGTGCCATTGTACCGGGCGTAGCTAACGAAGCACACCTTGGCGGTCTGCTCGCCGGCGTTCTTGTCTCTTTAGTTGTATCCCGCCGAAGTGGGTATCGTGGAGCCTTGCTGCCCTGGCCTGTGGTGCTCGGCCTCCTGTCCCTGGCGCCCTTCGGCCGACGCTTCCTGCCTCGCCTTTTTCGAGGTCTTTGCATTGGCATCCAGTATCCCGGCACTTTGGCAAGAGGCCTTTTCTTGTAGTCGCAACGCAATCCCTTTGAATTGAGAGCCCGACTGTCGCACCAAATTGCGTGTGTGATACAGAGGGGTCCCACGCAAGTGACCGAGTCTGCCAATGACTGCAACGAACGATAAATATGAAAGCTTAGAAAGAAGCTTGGTGTTCCTGCACGGTGCATAGAACTGAGCATGATGGACATCAAACGACCCTTTCCCATTTGCCAGGTGATGTCATACTGCCGGACCAAGTCAATTCTTCCAGCTTCTGCAAAAGTTCTTGAGAAGACGGCATCGTAGGTAGAGTATGCGCTGGGGCACCGCATGTGTCCAAAGTTGACACCTGCAATAGCCGCAAGCGCGAAGCGTAGGTTAAAGCGCAAACATTCTGCCTAGCTACATAATCTGTGGCTTCTACAGTCGGGCTCAGTCTGGTATGCGACTTAATTATGCATTGCAGAGGAAGCAGCAGTTTCTGGAGTTTCCATTCTCGGGCGACAGCACTGCTGTCCAGACAACTCCATGAGAACTTGGCAACACAAAAAGGATAGTCCAGAGTTGGACACAAGCTGAGCTACAATCATTGCCTGCTGAATGTTCCACAAAATCAACAAAGCCCTGTGCACTGCCAACTCTAGAAGGCCACAAACTCTTCACAGGGACGGTGTTTTTTGGTGCATGGAACCCTGTAACCGAAGTCGGGTAAGCAACACTTCCGCCGAAGTGGTGAGTAGCTAGATGGTGTTTGTCGGGACGATAACAAGAGCTGTCTGAGGTTGTTGAGCCGTTTCTGCTTGCCTTAAGCTCAATTCTGACCCGAAAGTGCCGATCACAGATGATTATCTAATTATCTGTCAGGTCATCAACACGAATCCGCTGAGGAGCTGCATCCGCATTGATGTATGCCGCTTCGACTCTTTTCTCTTCGCAAGGCTCGATTGTCTTTAGCTTTTTCCACGGCTTAGGTACACCAAACCAGATGTCGAAACCCCATCTGCGCATCATGCATGTCGCAGCATCACATATTTCCCAGGTAAAGATGCAGCATCCCCAGCTTTGCCGTAGCGACTGTCGTCGGAAGCACTCTATGTCCTATCCCATCCTCAAAGCGACACTTCTGCGAACACAACGTTAGCAGTTTAGCCGTTGGACTTCACTGTTGCAAGCATTCTTTGCCAAAGTGGTGTCCGTCCTTTCGGCTGCCATGGGCAAGCCTTCCGTTAGCACCTACAGCTCCCAAGCTGGAGCCTGAATGAAGACGACCGAAGGCTGAAGGGCAATGATGAAGTTTGGCTTTGCAACAGCTTCAGCATCCGGCAGTAGGCTTCGCAGCAGGTTCGCCGCACATCTTGTGTACTCAGGTCGAGCAGTTCAGCTACCGCGAACCCGATGAAGAGGATTCGCGGCGACCTGGCAGCACGTTTTTCCAGGAAGTCGTCCTAGCGCAAGCAATTCACATCATATTCTCGCAGGGAGCTCGGGACATCCTTGTAAAGACGAAGATGCACAGCTTTTCACAGTGGCACAGGATGCGTTGCTTTGCTGGATCGGCATGGACGACTGGGGCCCTTGCTTGGTTCTAATGGTAGGGGGTTAACTTACCAGCAACAGAACACAGTGTGCTGCAGTGTGCCGTCTTGGTGATATCTTTATTTTATGTTTAGCCCTCTGTTTGGACGTGAAGGTAATGCATCCCGAAGTGTACTGCAGCAGACGGTCCTCTGCCTGCAAACATCCGTATTAGAAGACGAACTTGAGCTTCGTGCACCTTAAACTTCAAAGGCCAAAGGAGAGCAGCCAAAGCCGATGATTCAGCAAGGCCAGATGCGCTGGAGGAACTCATCGAACAGAAGATTGCCGAAAAGGAAGCGAAAGCCTGCGTACTTTGCGTTTCTAGGAGATGCTTCCTTGGCTCTGGGATGAACGGTGAGAAATTCCATTCTTCCCGGGGGAGGCAGAAACAGTGTCATGGATTTCCAGCGGATCTGAGATCTGATGCTTTTGCGGTAGCCGAGTTTAGCATTCAGGTCCCGTGCTTGTGGCTATCTCGCCTGAACCTTGTGTGAACGGCAATTGACCGAGACCACCTGTCGGCATGGTTGCAACACGATACCAATCCCCCAACATGTCGTGCACCGAGAGTTAGACCAAGAATCTACGGATTTTTGCACGCTCCTTGTTCAGGACAGCCTGGACAGGCGCGGCGCATCGCCGGAACTCCATTTTGATGTCCATGCAGTGGCACGAACGGGCACGACAAGTCACATGCTCTACTCCAAACCGTGTCTTGCCGGTTTGATTACTGCTTGCCGATGCCACAGTCCCCCATGCGCCGCCTGCAGGATCCTGCAGTTGTGTGCCGACGCTTGCCTGGCCTACCGGGACATGCGCTGGGTCTGGGTTGCCGTCCTACGCATATAGCTCGTGTGTGTGTATATATATATATATGTGTGTGTGTGTGTGTGTGTTATTTTCTTTGTATATATATATATATTCCATCGAGGTTAGATAAGTTGAAAAGAATTCCGCATTGGGTGCATAATGGTTTCGGCTACTGCGCTTCATCCGTCTTATCCAAACGGATCTTCGAGAGGTAGATGTGTGAGTACCTGTTTTCTAAGTTGCTATGTACGAGGATACTTCCGATTCTGATGCATCGACTTATCTCGTAGGCTGCAGGTATTGTCTGCATGGAGCTGCAATGCCGGGAAATGATGGACCGAAGGATCGTTCAATGAACATTCGAGAAGTTGAGGCCAGCTTAGGTGTCACTGTGCAGGCGAGGCTGACTTGCTAATTTCCACCATGTTTCCACATTCTGCTTTCCCTGGCTCAACTTCACCGATGTTTTAGTGTAGTACTGCGTGGCAACATATGGAGTTCTAACTTTTGGCAGCCTTCTTTCGACTCAGTCGACATGTGCAGGAACAGGGCGAGAGATGGAAAGAAGCTCACATGCTGGGAGCCCCTGCAAGACTGTGATGTCAGGCTGTTTTTCTGTGGATGCCGTCGATAGTCGATGTTTAAATTTCTGGCATTCTCAGCCACGGTTGGCTCACGTGCCCTCCATAGTCTGCGCAAGCTGTTCGTACGGGATCGTCAGGCATTCGTGCGATCGCTTACTCGAGATCACCTAGCCGGCACCAAGACCTGCAGCGTAACTCCTTTGTCTTCGTGACCTTCCGAGTTCAGGCTCTGCACCATGGCAGGGGTGTGCCTGGAGTTTCAGCAGGTGGAGCAGGCACGGGTTTTCTCGGGTGCGGAGGGTTCGAGACTAGGACTTTGCGCCGACATGGTGCTACTTTGGACTTGTAGTGGCTCGTTACGGCAGATGTGAGCCAGTCCTGCAGCCACTGCCACGTATCCGACCGATTACATGATATCCGCCCTCCAAACTAGAATATTCGATGCTCGGCCCGCTCCACAGTACGAAGATGTGTGTGACTGGGCGTGAGTGTTTGTGCGGATGTACAGTGGTGACAAGCTCTTACAGTAATTGCGGTGTGAAGTGGATTGCACCACCGATGAGGCGGAGCATCACGCCCGCAGCGCCGTTCGCCTTGCAAATGGCCTTGGGGACAGGACTGAGGGCAGGGGTTCGCAGCGCATTGATAGTTCGTGTAGAGATTTCAACTCTATAAGGCTCAGCATTATGAAGCTTCGATGAATGTGTAGCTGGCCGGCTATATGGGGTTATTTCACAGATCACGGCACCTGGTAGCAAAGGTGTTCCTTTGCAGAAGCCCATGGCAGCGTGGCGTAGTCTGGGCTTTTCTACTTAAGGTTCTGCTGAAGGCGCGGGATGGTGCAGGTGCGTAAGTCTCTCGTTCGGGATGAACCACAGTTCAGATAATGTGAAGAAAGGTAGAAAAAAGAGCAGCGAAGCATGAGAGAAACTAACTACCAAGAACTTAACCCTGGCGATGCACTTCTGAACCTCTTGGGACCATTCCCCATAACCCTTGTGGACCACAGTGGAATCAGCAGTTCGCCATGAAATCAATTCAGCTTGCGACTAAGTTTGAGTTACCTGGGCGGCAAAGAGATTTCCCCTGTGCCATTTCATGCCGCGACACTGTGAGCTCGCTGCCTGTGACACGATTTTGGTTGGGGTTGCGAGGTTGGCAAGCATGACGGTGCGGTAGTGCATGTAAATTTGAATACCGTTGTCTGTGGGGCCTACTGTGCTTTCGGGCTGGAGTGCTCAAGATATGGAAATACCGTATTAGAGTCTGCCGTAGAACCGCCGTACGTAGCTGAGCGATCGCCCCTGGAAAATGTTCAATCGAAGCAAATGGAGCTGGCAAGTACTGTTGCTGGGGAACCCAACAACGTACAGATCAACATCAAAGTTGGGTGCACTCAAAACTGCATCGTTTGATAAATCGGGTGGAGAGGGAGAGGGATAGCAAAATGCCGCGACGCGCCGAAAAGGCCGCATACTAGTTTGAATTGAGAACGTTGAAGGTTGCATGCTGTCGGGGAGGGCTTGCATCTGTGTAGGGAGCCAAGCCTGCGACCCTATGTCCAGCGATGCTCACAACCCAACAGGTCTCCACCAATGGCACCAACAAAAGGATCTCAGCCGCAGAACATCAGGTCGTGCCCCAAACCCCTTGCATACTCTGCTGGAGGCTAGCCGAGTCTTTCAGAAATCCTTGCTGAGACGCCAACTCGCTTCGTGAGTGTGCAATGATGGGACCCCGCTTCGAAAGAGAATCTCAGCTATAACTGTCCAGGGCCGCCCGCAGTGAAGCGCTGAACATCCTCGCCTCGGCCGCGGGTCCTAGAACAGAAACCCTAAAGCACCTCAACATTGCTTCGGAGATTTGGATTGCATCGCTATCTCAGGGGAGGATCTGATTGTTTCACAGGGTGAAGCTGCAAGACCTTGCAAGCATCGTGGCTTCCATTTGTACTAGTTGTTTCTGCCCAGATCCATTCAAGCACAAATCAATATTACTGGCTAGGATGGGTTAGCTCGTGGGCCGGCTTGGGGGAAGGTGACTCTCAAAAACAGTCTTTCCAGAATTAGATCTTTGTCACGACCGCTCGAGGCCGAAAGCAGCAGTGGCTTGGTCTTAAAGTGATCCAGAGCATTGCAGCAGGTCTTCCTTGTGCAGCCGGAGCAGTCCGAGAAGGACCCGTCGCTCAGCATTCGTGTGCGAAGGTATGCTGTGCCGTTGTTTACTTACCCGCGACAAGAGTCTCCCAGAGTTGCCTCTGTCTGAACCTCGGGTCGGTCCCTGTGCTTGCTATGCCGGCTGAACCCACTATGGTGCGGGTCAAGCCGCAAGCAGGCCGTCATGATTCTGCAGCAGGACCTGGGAAGTGAAAGGAGTGATTTCATTTCGCCCCCTCATTTCCGAAGCCACAGAGGCTGGTGTTGCGATGGTTGTGTTCGGACGAAGAAGGGCAAGCATCATGTTCTTAGGGCCGAGTGCGCAGCATTCCAGAACCAGCAACCCAAGTGCAGGAGCAAGCAGCCTGCATAGATGAACGTGACGAACTTGGAGAGGCCGCGATGGGCAGATCAGAGAGTAGTCAGTTGTTGGCTTCGGGTGGAGAATCGCGAGTGTTGCTGCTTCGCCTGGCAGTTTCTCAGATCCACCAGGAGCCAATTCCTGATGGACTTGGCAGCAGGAATCACCAACAGGATGGAGGGGGGCACAGGCCAAATGGCCCGGCACAAAACACTGGTGTCGTTTTTACATAGCAGAAACCACAGCCCAAGCAAACCTCTTCAGCGACATCGGGCAAGCAGGCAACAACACACAGTCAAGTTTGGCCAACGCGAGTTGCAAAGATCGGAAGCCGCACAGCTCCTAAATTCTAAATGGAGCAGGAAGAAACTAGAAGCTGCTTTGGTAAGGCGATGTGCATGCTCTCCCTTGCCAACGTCTATATGGAGCAAAGAGCTTAGCTTCACACTCGCAGGCCTTGCAGTCCTGCGCTTTTAAAGTTTGGGATGCCGCTCCGGGCTGCGTGTGGCTGTTCCCAACAGGATATGGCTGATATGGCTTGTCAGACTAGTCACATCCCCCCCACCTGCATATTGTTTGGTTTGAGGCTGGGCAGACCGAAATTGGCTGCAGCCCAAGTGAATGCCCATGCGGTCGAAGCCTTGATTTATGGCTGTCTTTTGCCGGGTCTCACTTTTCAGGTCATCTCTGCGGCAGAGGATGCACGAAGAATCTTCAAGTCCTCCAAGGATCCGTGTGGGCACCGAGCTGTTGCTGGCAAGTGAATTCCGGTGCTTGGACTCTTTTTGCGGGTGGCTTGAGGCCGATGTTTCATCGGTTCATTAATCGCAAGCCGATTTTGACTGGGTTCTGCTGCTGGCCGGTCGACCTGGAACCAACGTGACTCGAGGATCTCCAGCACAAAATCTGCACACAGCTGGGACCGGTGCCCTCCAATCCAATCCTACCCAACCTTCAGAGTTTTGGCTTTCAGATTCCTTGGGCCCGGCCAGTTCTTAGGGTGCCATGGAGCTCTCTGCCCTTTCACCGCTCGGATTTGCGGTCCCCAATTGCAACCGCCTTGCAGAGCAGCCGCAGCTGCACGTCACACATGCCCGATGTGAGCAAGCGAGAAGCCAACGTTTCTTTCCTACCCTAGTTCGATGTTACAAGAAGTAATTGTTGAAGGGTTTGGGGCTTTCTGTCGGCAGAGAGCCAAGCTCAGCTTATCCGCAGCCAGGTTCCAACGCGCAGTCCCTGTGCTTGGCTTCATTGGCTGCAGCAGCATGTGCGCGCTGTGCTGTAAAAAGACGAGCCTATGGTGGCTATAGTGGTGGCTATGGCGGCAGAATGGACGGAGAAGAAGTAAGGCGCCGCACCGAGATGAAGCGAGAAAGGGAGACACAACAGTTCTACATGTTCCAGAGGCAGATCATAAGCCGTGGAGGAGTGCAGCCGAAAGATGATGCACACTGGGATGCGCTGGAGACGAGAATTTTTGGACAAAGTCACGTGAAAGCTGGCATTAACTTCGCCAAGTACGACAGCATTGAGGTTACTGCAGAAGGTGGGACTGGAAAAGAGCAGCCGATTTCCTCGACGCTCTGCTTCAAAGGATTATTTATTCAAGATATGGGCTACTGTACCAGTGCGATGTATGCTTTTCTACTCGTGCAGGATCAGCAAACACATGACCATCCCGAGTAAGACCTTTCGCCTGAAGCTTCCCCGCCACATCTGGGCCTTCTAGGCATGGCATTTCGTGCTCACACCTTGCCGGAGCTGAGGTTCCAGGAAGCATGTGAGAAGTACCAGCTGCCCGATGAGCTGACAGCCAATCTTGAGCGATGCGGCAGCTTGCTCCAATCATTCTCGATGCTTGTACCACAGTGTAGAATTTCCCTGGTGTATCGATGCAGTGCACTTTGGGATCTCAAAAGCCATCTGATCCGCGCACTAAAGGCCGAGCCTGGTCGGTAAGCTTTCTGCTAGTCAAACGCCGAACCCAGCGTCCACAGAACAGGAAGGCAAAGTTCTAAGCAAATTGAGGCCTCAAAATGCAGAGAGCTAGCCTCAACTCCTGCACCGGATCAGGCTACGACACCCCGACGCCCGTTCAGAAGTACAGCATCCCTGCAGTGCTGGAAGGCCTCCTGCCAAAGCCTCGCAGAGTTTCAGTGAACCGAGGTGCCGAACTTCTCAGAATCCCAGCACTCGACGCGATTCATGTCGACTTTTGCGCGACCTCTGATCCCCTCAACCCATTAAAATCCATTAAACATGGGGATCACATGGAGGGAGTCTGAGTCGGAGCTGACAACTGACAAGATGGCCCGCTTGTCTTGTCTCATCACCGCCGTCTTCAAACAGTGAGTGCCCTTTTTTTACGCCAGGTGCAACGTCGCACCTCCGGGCAGAAACACACCTGGGTTTGCTTCTGATGCGCGGGCAGGGTTGAGTCAAAGTATCTATCATGATGTTTGGGTCTACTCTTCACACCTCTTCACCTTTCGTGGGCAAAGACGTCATAAGCAGCGCTCTTTAGCCTAACCGTAGCTTACACAGCCATGACATTGTCAAAGAACTTTTGGCCTCTCGCCGCGGCAGGCAGTGACGTGATGGCAACTCGGTCAAGCAAAGTCTGGCATTTGACTCTTCTGCACACCTGTTCGTTTATGACACCCGGCCCTTGAGGGCATTGGAGCGTGCAGCTTGTAGCTTTTCTGCGTGATGCACCTGAATGTCTGATCCCGTCCGGATGATCGCAAGGCGCAACAGGCCAGGAATAAGTCAATCAAGACAGTCCAAAGCCGGGTCCCAGACCTTGACGGTCGGTGCAGCTCTTCAGGTCTCTGCACAGACTGGCAGTGGCAAGACCGCGGCATTCTTGGCCGCTGACCTCAGGGGCCGGGTGTTTTCTGCCGAGACTCCGAGAAGAGCCTGAGCCACTCCAGAAGAGTCGAAGAATTAACGAAAAAGTCTTGGTGCATGAGGTATTTACTGTTAAGAAGGGCCCAAACCCTAGATACGAATGAAACAGAGATCTCACGATGCTTGGAAGCTTTTCAGGTGCCCATCATCACTGCTGCTTTACAGGCTGGACCAAAGGATCCATGGGCTTGGAAAACCTGCGGTTTGGGAAGCCTTGGCGATGGGTTCCTGAACCGCTCTCGTAGACATGATGTACGAAACGGGGTCAGGTAGAGGCATCCTCAGCAGTTTCTGAATTGTCTCAGCGCCACTTGTTTGCTTTGTACACACCCTAATAGGGTGTTGTTCGCTTGTCTTCGGCTTTGAGTAGACTGTTGTCTGGAATCGGTTTGTATATTTGGGTTGTGGAGGCAGGAAGTAGACATGTGGGATCCGCACACCTAGTCGTAGTTCCATGTGCATATTGTGGGCAGTGCATTCGTGCCGGCCCCGTCCATGAACGTTCCAGGAGCTCACGGAAGAGGGCGCCGTCTGCCCCACAAGCGTGATTCTGGCACCAACCCGCGACCCGGCAGATGCTAGAGCCGGTGAATCGACACGATTCTTCCTGAAGTATCGGGCTCTTTTATGCTGAGCTAGCGTTGTTGCTTGCTGGTGCTGGTGCTGGTGCTGGTGCTGGTGCTGGTGCTGGTGCTGGTGCTGGTGCTGGTGCCTGTGGTTGCTGTCGTTTGTTGTTGTCTGGTGGTGTTGCTGTTTGTTGTTGCCCGATGTTATATGATGTTGTGGTTGATGTGCGGGTTGTTGTTATTATTGCGGTGGTTGTTGTTGTTGTTGTTGTTGTTGTTGTTGTTGTTGTTGCTGTGGTTGTGGTGGTTCTCGGGGTTGTTGTGGATTTTGTGGTTGTTGGTTGTGGTTGTTCTTGTTGTTGTGCTTGGTCTTGCTGTTGCTGTCGCTGTTGTAGCCGCAGCCGCAGCTGCAGCGGCAGCAGCAACGGTATTTACAGCAGTAGTAGCCATCGTAGTATTTGGGCACATGCTTGTGCAGCCTATATTCCATAGTGATTGGCTTCGACCCACTGGAACTGGTTAAAGTTCACTTCAGATTAAGGAAGGTCCCCACCCACCCCCCCAAGGATGTGAGCCCCAGCCTTTGTAATAAGAGTCCGGATCCAGCATCAGACCCACTTATCACTGTCATAAGTCTAGCTTGTGCTTCTGCAGAGTTCGCGGATTTGAATTGTTTTCAGTTCCTCTGAGTTTTCGCCTGTATAAGCAACATTCTGGTTTCGTTTTGCCCGCTCCGGCCGCTTGGATTCTGCAAATATTGGGGGGCGGGGGGTTCGAATTACGTTCTGGGAATTGGGTTTTGCAATTATGCAAGGGGTTCTGAATAGGTTGACATTAACCAACGTGAAAGCACTGCCCACGAACCATGCTTTGCAGTCAGAATCACCGCCGTCGTCTTCAGCATCGCCAGTACAGAAATAGGTCTTTGAATTACGATGCCCAGCACATAGGGACGAGTGTGCTTAACATTGGTTGATTTCTCGTTGTTCTTGGTCGCAGTAGTTTAGCAAAGCTTTATTATTCTTTGGGGAGACCCGTCCCATCCTGTCAGCTTGAGCAAGGCGAGCTGTGTGAGCAGATTGCCCAAGAGGCTGCTCAGCTGCGGAAGCACATGCAAGAGGGCGGGCAGTTTGAGCCTTATAGGGCATCGGGTTCGGGGGCTCCAGTACCGAAGGCGATCGCTTCGGCGGTCAATTGATACCCATGGGTTGAGCGGTTGAAATCACTGCGAGGCTCCGACGTGGCGAGAATCCGTAAACAGGCACACTGTACTCTCAGAATTATATTAAACGAGAGGTGGGGGATCCCAGAGTCGGACTTCGGCACATCAAAGACGAAGGTTATTAGATCGAAAGTGCAGGTTCCGACTTTACTGGAAAAACGCAAACCGAGGCCAAGCGGCTGACATTCAGAAGCTTCGCCCGTGTGGCTGCCATTTATGGAGGCCGTGAACACTGGCTTCGAGTTTCGGAGTTCCCGAGTTTTTTCGGACTCTGCCGGGTGCATTACAAATGCCGACTTCGTGTGTGGGTGCTTCTCGCCTAAATAGCGGGCCGAACCAGCCGACGATACCGCCAGGCCTCGTCCGTAAGCACTTGCTTCACGGTTCACGAGGGCAGTGTGCTGAAGATACACGTCTGAAGCGGAAATCCTAATGCCATCAGCTAGAAGAGGCGCCGATGCCCTCCAGCAGCTGCGCGACATAGCGGGCGGTGTGGCCGCCCGACTTCATGGAGGGACCTTAGGGACACCGATCTTCCGACTGCCACACGATTTGGGCGGCGAAAACCTGCAACACGTTGTGGGTCTTAATATTGTGGAGACGTCCTTATGCTAGTGAGTGCCGTGCTTGGAAGAATCTGTCGAAACAATGGATCAAATCCACATAATTGCTTACAACATGCGTGACATAGAACTCCTTCGTGAGCGTCCTCAGATCCCATTCTCGGGTCTCGCTTGCAGGAGATTGTCGTTTGTGCACCGGGGCGCATGGACGACTTCCTGCAGCGTGGCGCGACTCTGCCTGAAACATTCTCGCTAGCGATGTTAGCCGCAACAACCACTACACTTCCTTCTATTCGCAAGCCAGGACAGAGAATATCCTTGGTCTTCAGGTCTTCTAAGCAACACATGACCGGGGCAGTGCACGTTTTTATTTCGCGGTGCCACGGATTGAGAGGGGGACAGACGAGCACGGATTGCGTTTGGAGCTGTCTCGCGCGCACATCAGAGTCGGCGAGAGGAGCGGACTTAGACGTGCTTGTTTTGCATCCACGGTTGCAGAAAATCAGACATGCCAGGGTCAATCTTCAGTAAATAGTAAAGTAGGACCAGGCAGGGACGGTGTACAGGCGCTGTCGGCAGCAAGTTTTCGACCGGTGCTTGCCTCGTCTGTGAAGCGGTGCCAGGTCGTCAGCATGGAGGGAGTGAAGTGGCCGAACTGCATGCAGTCCATAAGTTGCCTTCAGAATACCATTCTCAGCAAGTCCGAGAAGCTTATGCACCCAATTGTCAATAGGATGCCCTGACCTCCTCATATGGCCGGTTCAAGGATCGAGTGCGCAGTTTTCGGATGTGTTTGCATGTGCTTTTCCGGATTTGGATCTTGGTGCAACTTCATGAAGCAGGCAGTTCGGGGACATGTGCGCGAATTGCCAGAAGAAGCCGGTTGCTTGCGTGCAGGTTCCTGGTGGTAGATGAGGCAGACAGAATGTTGGACATGGGCTTTGAGCCGCAGATTCGCCGCTGGGTCAATCAAGTTCACGTGGAGCTTCGTGCTGAGGGTAGATTGGCGTTCAGAAGAGAAATGTGACTTCCTGGACTAGGAACACGGAAACCTTTCGCAAGCAGCTAGGAGGACTGGGTGGCAAAACGCGGGCTCGTCTTGACTTCAACGGATGTTGGAGAGCTAGAATCGAAGCACAATCGATCAGAAGTGTTGCCTCACGAGCCAGAATCGCATCGGACCTGAGGAAACATTATTGAAAACTATGGCATGCCGGAGCCCGGCGAGGCTCCGCTCCGACGAGTCTCAAGACACGAACAGGACATCATCTTGATAGGCAGTATGAAGTATGAAGATCCGCCGATCCTCCCTTGCCGGCCATCTTCACAAGCCAACCATATGCAGCACACCCCGTGGATGGTGAAGACCACACTGTGATAATGCGATGGTGACGCGAGTTTAAGTCGCGTCACTTGAGCGTGGGCAGGCGCAGAGCAAAGCGAAGGAAGCAAAGACCCCCCAAGCTTAAGCCTTAAGCTCCAAGCGCTCCAAGCTCCTTCGGAGGGCGGGCGCCAGACGATGATGTTCTCGGCCACATTCCCTCAGGCTCAGCATGAGTCTGCTTTGGGTTATTCGTGTGCTCATGCCCGCCAAAGCCCGGAGGGAGGAGTTCTCGCGTACAGGAGATGCAAGACATGGCCTTGGACTTCCTCGATCCAGCCTACTACGGCATTAAGGTTGGACAGGCGGGAGACTCTTCGCAGTCGTACCGTACATTACTGTTTCATTGGTGAGACTACATAGGTGGAGGCGTGCGTGCAAGCAGTTCTGGTTGTGGTGGCGTTGCCGTGTCGGCACGTTTTAAGTGTTGGCATCGGTTTTTACCGCCGCTGCTGTTGACAATATCATGTTTCCCTGACTGTAGCCTCTTCCTGCCAGAGCTGGCAACAGCTGAGAGATTCTGCTCAAGCATCCCTGCGTTTGGAGAACTGCTTTGCAACATTAGGTTGGAAACCAGCGGCGAGTCTAGGTTTTGCAGACCAGCTGCCTGTTGCGTTGTTCCCGGTCGGAACCTCCCACCAAATTTTTCTCGGTAGCCAGCGACCCGAAAAGCGATGTACGATGTGTGTTTGAGCAGGTGGGCCACGCAGCGACGGATGTGGAGCAGTGCTTCGAACAGGCCTGGGGCTGAAACTGCACCTCGTGGGAGTTACCTGCAATACCGTGACCAAATTGTTTCACGAGTCAACGTCCCTGACATGCATTATCAGGAGCCCACAGGCCAGCACGGACACTGCGCTAGTAGTCAACGACATCCTGCAAAGTATAAGTCTCGCTCCAGACACCTTCTACCGTTTTGACTGCACAAGAAGCCCAACCGACAAATCGACTCAGGTCAACTTCCGGGAGAAGAACGACAGGCTGCTGGATTTAATGACTCAGGCTCGGTGGTTCAGCCAAAAGGATCATGGCGAAAGGGCCATGGCTCGATTCCAAGAAGGCGTTGTCCTTCCGCACAGGCGAGTAGCGAGAATGGCGAGCTGGGCAAAACGCTCGTGTTTGCAAACACGAAGGCCGCGTGGGGTGGAGAGGAGTGCCTGGCCCAGCCCCAGCCCCAGCCCCAGCCCTAGCCCCAGCCCCAGCTCCAGCCCAAGGCCCAGCCCCAGCCCCAGCCCAGCCCCAGCCCCAGCCCTAGCCCCAGCCCCAGCCCCAGCCCTAGCCCCAGCCTTAGCCCGTAGAATCATCGTCAGCAAAGCTTTGAAGCGCCCTGCCCAGAACACCGTTGACGACATAGTTTGGATCTTGAACGATCGTGGCATCAAGGCGGAGCCCATACACGGAGGCGGAAAGGGCTGAAGACTGACATGTTGCCATAAGCCAACGAGTGGAAACAAGTTTGGGCATTCTGGAGACAAAGGAGATTCCTTGAGCCTCTCTGCTGCAGGACTGACACAGGGTGCCAGAAGTCGAAATCTGACTCTGCTCAAGAAGGGGGTACTCCAAGTTCTTGTCGCAACTTGGCAGATCTTCATGGGTTTTCAGGGAGCACCCACGTTCTGTCGTAGTCAGTCAGAGACGGCCAGGCTACCGACGTCGCGGCACGAGGACTTGATCTACCTGGGATCGAGCACGTGATCAACTACGATCTGCCACAAGACGGTGGGCGGGAATGCGAGTCGGAGGGGTATTATGACTCATAGACTGTCAGAGCTGTCTTGTTTCGGCACGACGCAGAGATTGCCAGGCGACACCTACGTCCATCGCATCGGGCGGACAGTGGGCTTGAAAGCATTCCACAGCACGTCCGATCCCTCTTGCCCGTGTCAGCACCGATCGCTTGAGGCTTGCATGCTCAGACGCATTCAGTGCCGGGCACTGCAATATGATTGCACCTCTCCGTTTCGCATCAGCTTGATGGTCGAATTATGTTTCAGAGATTCTCAGAGAGGGTGTTGATCAGCAACGGGCAGGACCGGGCGCATCGGCAACAAGGGCCGGGCCACATCTTTCGTGTCGAATTGTACCTCGACAGCACAAGATAATGAGGCACGAGTAGTGTGTACAACCCTGCTTTGACACGTTCTCATCAGTCGTGGGCCACAGCACAGATGGATCACGCATGCAAATTTAGTTTGTTCGAGTTGAAAGTCCTCGATGATTTGCCTTGCCCCTTTTCTTGCCAGACGACAGCGCGTCGAATCTGAAGATGATTGTCCGGCACATCAAGGATGCGAAGAAGGTCCGGCGACTGGGGGCTTGGGCTCGGCCAAGGCCTTGTTCGGTTCAACTTGACGCCGTCACTTGCAACCATCGTCATGTGCAGCAAAACGAACTCCGGCAGGACGACCCAGATGCCTCTGACGTGCCGGAGTGGCTAGAGGACAAGCTGAAAGATCACACACACACACACACGCGCACGTGGCACCATGCTTTGGCATAGTTTGGGTTCTGCTCTTTGAATGGCGTATACGGGACCTGAGGAGTTGGCAGTGAGCCGTCCAGGGGGTCCCCGTGGCGGTGGGGGCAGAGGCGGAGGAAGAGGACGATACTAGCCGGCTGCAGCTGCCATCTTCGGGTTCACAGCACCTCGCTAAAGTTAGGATGCAGGCGTTCTGACATCAGCAAATTTGTTCCCTCATTTTATTGTTGACGCTTCGCGTCGTCCGCCTCGGCTCGGGCTCAAGTGAAGAGGGCCGACAAGTTGCTCCACTGTCTTCAATCCCAAAGCCGTCACTTGAAGGAGGGGGAAGGGGAGAGAGCACGGACACGAGTCTTCACCACCTGGCCCTGGAGCCAGTGAACGGGTCAGAGGAAGAAAGGAGGGGAGGTTCAAGGGGGAAGGTATCCTGTAACTCTGACCACTTCGGCCGCCGAGGCGAATGTACGTCGGGGGCTTCCATGCCAGAACGTTTGGAGTGCACGCACGGGTCGTGGAGCCTGCGCCACAGGCATCAGACCGGACCCCGTGAGCCCCCGGCAATGGCCCCAGCAGAGCGAAGCTCCATGGGCAGTGCGAGGCAAGTTTTGAGAGTTTTTCTCGAGTTCTCGGACGGTGAGGAAGACCGTAGCGATGCGTTGAATCTGGAGAAGCGATTCATTGATTTGTCGTTTGTAGCAATTACTGCGCACATCAGAACAGACCGCAATAAACCTCATGACGACTCTTCCTCCCTGTCTGTGCAGTCTTGATCTGAGACGTAGCCAAGTCAACAAATTCCCAGTGTGCGAACTTGATTTTGTTCGAACGGCGGTCAGAAGTGTAGCTGCTGAACTGGCAGCAGCTCCATCATTAGTTGTGGTACGGCAGCATCAGCGTGAGACAGCTGTATAGGGGAGCTAAGAGGGAAGGACCTGCTGGGTAAAGGGCCGTCGCTTCTCATCTCGAAGGGCCAGAGACCACGTCCGGCAGCTTTCGCCGCCAATTTCGTCGCGCGTGTCATGGGAAAGCAAACATTCCGAAGCAGATGTTGCATTGGATGGATTGGGGGCTTCTGCCAAGTACAAGCAGGGCAAGCTCTCCTTGAGTAAGAACGTTTCGATGACCGTATAAAGTAGATCTTGAGCTGTTGCATATTCTAATATCTTTTTAAAATTCCAATTTCGCTTCGTTGCGAGGTCGTGTTGCAAGGCCCCTGGTGATGATCACTCGGTGTTGGATTTAGACGTACACTTCAGCTATGAATTTGCTGTAAAGGACTCTGGAAGAAGCTGAGAGGCATAGAGAGAGCGAGCGAGAGACAGAGAGAGCGAGGGCCCCCTGGACCCCGAAGTGAAGTGAACTGAAGCGAGGGCTCCCGAAGCCCTAAACCCTCTTCCTAATCCAAGTGTAGCAGGGAGGAAAGGAGGCTTCAAAATCCCGCTGTACGAATTGTGTCGAGGCTGACCGGGTGCAGCGCGAAATCGAGCAGCGCAGGAACGTGCAAGAGGGCTGCTACGATGTTACAGACAGGATCAACGGACGTCGCCCCAGGAAGCTCATACTGACACTAGCTCCATAGACGCCAACTCGGTGGATAGGTGCCTGGAAGAAAACGAAAAGGGGCATGTACCATCGGCAGGAGAATCCGAGCATGCGTAGCAGGAATGGTCAAACATGTTGTGTCTGCAACTTGACTAGGCATGATAGAGGCGTACCATGGACACGAATGAGCAGCATCCCGCGACAACAAGCTGCCCGGAGATGATGATCCCTCGTTCCCCACAAGGAGCCACCCCAAGTTACAGCCTAGTCATCACAGTAAACTCAAGCTGAGGGAGTTACGTCTAAGTTGTATATCTTGTGTAACTAAGTTGTTACGACTTAGTTTCATTGTTGGTTTGTAAGTTCATATGTTTTCGTGGCAGGTATCCATCAGGATTATTCAGAAAAGTATGCAGAACATATTTTTCAGCAACATTTCCCAAGCTGTATTTTTTACCGGAGGTTGCTTTGCAGAGTAGGTATGTCAATTCACGCACATCTTTCCAAAGCCATGTTGGCAATCTTCATGCTCAGCAAATTCACGAAGGAGTCCAGCTTGGCCGACAATTTCGCTTCCAGTAGCACTATAGCACATTTGGCACCCGCAGGCCAACAGGCACGAACCAATCCAGTTCTTCGCTTACACCGATGGGCTGCATTTGTTTATGTTGGTGTTTGGTGTAGTTACCGGGTCCGGCTCAGATGCCGGGTTGCCTTCATGACACCACTTGCAAGCTCTCCATCGTCACTTCACTTCAAAGTCTGCACTGGAAACCGTGAGCTCCTTCAGCGCATCCATGTTATCCACATCCTTACCGTGCGGATTCGGTGCCTCCACCTCCTACCAGCTTTCAACTTCCTGCCAGTTAAGCAGCGCTTGCACCTACTTTCTTCATTCGGCCTTCGTCTCGCTCGATTGACCTGCAATGCTTCAGCTCTGGGCACCAGGAGGCTGTCTTCTGCAGCAGCGAATCCCATGTAGGATCCATGTCGTTGGTCTTGCGGAGTCTTGCGGCTTCGGATGCCGTATATCAATAGGCGCAAGCTCGAGTTGAAATCTGCTGCAGCACAATCTCTACGCGTGATCACCCGTGCGGTTTGGCCACAGCCCACACGCGCCGGGTTGAGGGCGTACAGCATTCAGTATACCATCCCAGAGCAAACTGCAGCAGCAGATGAGATCCCTGAAAAGTCACGCTTGCAGCTCCTATGTAGGCTACCATGTAGAACCGCTGCTGTCGTGCAATCCGATCTTCGTCGAAAGACGGCATTTCAATTCTGAAGAAGATGCAGGCAATGGCCACCGCATGCAAACCCGAAGTTTCTACCCTGTCCCTGCATTCTGAATTCGCTTCCGTGGTTGCGGCGTTTTGCTCGCGACAGTGGGCACCGCCTATTGCCAGTATAGGTTTACAAAGCTTACGTACATGAGGCAAGCAAAGGCCGCTTCCTGGCTCCATGGAGTGGGTCTTTGGCCTTCCAGTCACTCGGTGGCTTCTGAAGGTTCTCACAAGGGTTTCCTCGACTTAGTGCAGCTTCTGCAAGCAACCTCCGGCAGCGACACTGTTGGTCGCTCTCGGCCCCAGCAAAGCGGAGAGAAGAGATAGAGAGAGAGAGAGAGAGAAGGCGAGCACACGCCAGACTAGAGTAGACAGACCCGCCTTTTGCGGAGAGCTCTGTGGTGTGTAGGCCTGTGTGCTTGGTTGTACCCTTTTTCGTTCAAAGCTCCGCTCAGTGCGCCACTTTCACACCAGCTCTCCGCTGAACAGCCAAGCCTCGCTACCAAAATGGCGGACAGGGGAGCGCTTCGGCGCGGGACAGGCGTAAGACCCTGGTCCTGACCCCTAAGCAAAGCAAAGCAAAGAGAAGAGGGCGAAGAGGCAGACCAAGCAAGCGCTCCATGCTGTTGGCTTGCCCTTACTTTGGCAATGGCTCGAACGGAAAGCACATGACACATCATGTCATGAGGGTCTCTTCAGCACCTCGGCCCCCATACTTCCTCATGCTACATTTGGATGCTACAAGCATTCGCTCTGCTTACAGAGGCCTGGTCATGGCTCAGTCCTTCCAGGCTGTGTACATAGAGCCGGCGTATTGATGCAGCTCGTGCTTCCGCATCTTTGCAGCCGGGTCCCTCCACAGAGTTTCTTCCTCGCGGCGACTTTGCCGACCGCCGTGCCCCCCTGTACCTGCCGAAGAAGAGGGCCCCGAAGGCCTGGCAGGCAAACCCCCAAAATGCCTTCTAGCACAAAGCTTTTCCTAGCCCCTTGACACGGTTCATGGTTTTGAAGAAGACCGAAGCCAGACAGGCGCTGCATACTTCCATCACACAAGCAAATGCAAGCAAATGCGCCGGAGAGTTCCGGTGTGAAGTAATGGTATTGGCATTGGAACATGGTTCAGACGGGGCTAGGTCTCCAAGGACCGCCTTGGCTGGCCGTTGGTTTCACGGCCATGACCTGGCGCCCGAGCCGCTTGTCAGGTCCTAAAGATTGAACTGGGGTTTCTGTTTGACCCTCGAGGCCACTGTCAGTGCCGGACGCACCTACGAAGCTTGAACAGTGAAGTGACAAAGTAAGACGTGCGGGGCAACACATCGCACACCAAAAATGCATAAGTGCTGTGGTTTGTTTGGGCGTGTGGGCCAGAAGCTAAGGTTGGGATGAGCTCTCGGTTCCGTGTCATGTCTACAGAAATACTCAGGAAGAGGCGCGAAGCCAAAGATGCACAGGCACAAGTACTCGGAAATGGGTTTCACGCACAAGAACGAATAGGCCTGCAAATCAGTTACAAGGGACGAAGGCACGCAGCAGACGAGTAGCATCCCCAACGACGGCCAGCCAGTGTTCGCTTTTGATACTGGTACGCGATTATGCTGACATGCATGCAGGCATGAAGAAGGCTGGTGTGAGTTTATAGTTGAGTCTTCGTTTGGCTGAGTTACTGCATACATGCATGTGTAAGCTCTTGCCATCATCTGCCTATTGTATTGCACCGTGGTACCCCGCAGTTTCGCCTTTTCCTTAGTCGCATGTGCATGCGTGCACAGGGAAACAGGCACCCGCAAATTGCAGCCAGAGCTCACAGCCAGTGATTCCCACTTCAAAAGCACTCTCCCGCAGGTCTTGCAAGTCCCCAACAGTCTGGGTTCCTTGCTGGCCTGGCTCTGCCGGCCCAGAGCAGTGGAACCGTCTTGCTGTTTCCTGCAGCTCGCGTAGAAATCGTTGGGTGCTTTGAGAATTGTCAATCGTTTCGGGTCGTGAAGTTCTTGCTGTGTGGGAGCAGCTTGTCCTTCAACACACCGTGCAATACACCGTCACATGACTGCAATGGACATTAATTAACTCGGGTTTTGATCTACTCGAGGCTTCTGCCCTTTTTCCAAGGCGAGGCCGCCGAACTTGTCGAATCGGACAGGGGCACCAGACAAGTCCGGACTCAATGCTTTATTGTAGTAAGACTGAAACTCTGGGAGTCCTTATGCTCCCGATCGTATTCGAGACTCTGTTAGGCTCCAGCCCGGGTTAATCCGGGACATTCGCTGTTGATATTGTTGATACAAGACACTCCTTCGGGCCTCTACCAAGGTATCTTCATGGGTTCCCAGATCAAAGCCTTGACCACCGCAAGGCTGGACTGCAGTGCAGTGAAAGAAGCGCAGCAAGCTTTTGTGATCGTCAGGTGCAAGATGTTGATGCAAGACTCCGCCCTTATTACCGGAGTCTAAGACTAAGCTTCATGCTCGCTTAAGTTTGTTGGTGGATCGTGCCGTCAGAGTTCTATTGACTATATGGATGCCCCTGACGTTCATGTTTGAATACACCGACCAATGATCATTGGAAGGAGAGTTGGTGACATGTTGCACGACCCACACACAGTGACAGGGCATCGTGCAGGCAAGTTTTTATAGTTTGGACACAAAGCCGAGCTAGCCAAGAATCTTGAGCCGCCTGCGTGGTGAGACGCTCACATGTAGCCCGGTGAAAGAATAGAGTGATAATATTCTGGCAGCATGCATTTCTGCTGTTCTTTTGGCGAGTTTTCGTTGTTGTCCGTTGTCTTCATAACAAGCTTCCTCCAGGAATGTCGTTCCGGTGCCAAGAACCATGCCCTTCGCATGGTATGGTATTGTTCATACGAACAAACTTGAATGCCGCGCGGGCACCGGTAACTTAGGTAATGCATGCTTTCAGCCAGCAGCCCGAGTCAAGTGGAGCCTGTAGGAGCTGTCCAGCTACGGCCAACTACGGCCCGCACTGCCTCAGCGATTGGCAGCTCAGCTCCTGGCTGCGCGTCCCGAGGCTGTCTGGGGCTCCACGACCTAGCCTTCCGAGGACTTTCGGCGGGTTCAGGCTTGTTCGACTCGCGAACCGTTGACGTAAGATTACGTAACTACCGGTACTGTAGTCGGCATGCGCGGGCGACGTGATACTTGTAAGAACCAGCCATCGAGCACTGTAGACAGGTCAAACAGCCGACACACGGCTCTGACCGCATGTCGCACTTGGGTTGCGATGCGCCACCAGGCAGCTTTCGCAGCCTTCAACTTTTCCGGCACCCCTGGATCTGATGCGAGCTGCCGGTTTCGTGACAAAACAGCAGCACGGCAGAAGTCCATGCGCACGCAGCACTGGCAGGGCATTCTCAGATCAAGGTCACCCAAGAACTCTCCGATACACTGGCCATGATGTCTTACTTGCGGGAGCGATGGCCTGGGCTTCCCATCCACGCCACGCATCTGATTTATCTTCCAGTGGCCGACATGTTGTCATGTTCCAGCAGGCTCTTGATTCACGCCACCCCCGCCGAGGTCATTGGCATCTCCACTGGTGCCATCGTTGCCAGCTGCACTTCTGCGATACAGTAACTAAACTCGTTCGAAACATCAAGCGATTGGGCTCCTTCAACGCGTCCGTCGAGTTGTTTGACAGGGACAGGGGCACTTCTTTTGTGCCGTGTACTCTAGCTCGTTCGGGCACGTGTCTGGTGCAGGGACAAGGGTGGCACTCAAGGAGAGGGTGGTCGTCGTTGGTGGTGGTGGTGGTGGTGGAGATGGTGGTGGTGGTGATGATGGTGGTGGCGGTGGTAGTGGTAGTTGTAATAGCAGGCATAGCAGCTAGTAGTAGTAGTCGTCGTCGTCGTCGTCCTCGTCGCCGTCGTCGTAGCAGTAGCTCAGTAGTAGTAGTAGTAGTAGTAGTAGTAGTAGTAGTAGTAATAGTAGTAGTAGTAGTAGTAGTAGTAGCAGTAGCAGTAGTAGCAGTAGTAGTAGGAGGAGGAGTAGGAGTAGTAGGAGTAGTGGTAGTAGCAGTGATAGTCGTAGTAGTTGTTGTTTTTGTTGTAGTTGTAGTTGTAGTTGTAGTAGTAGTAGTAGTAGTAGTAGTAGCAGCAGCAGCAGCAGCAGCAGCAGCAGCAGTGTAGTAGTAGAGGTAGTAGCAGTAGTAAGTAGTAGTGGTAGTAGTAGAAGCAATAGTACTAGTAGTAGTAGTAGTAGTAGCAGCAGCAGCAGTAGTAGTAGTAGTAGTAGCAGTAGCAGCAGCAGTAGCAGTAGCAGTAGTTGCAGCAGCGGCAGCAGCAGTAGTAGTTGTAGTAGTTGTTGTTGTAGTTGTAGTTGCAATCGTAGTTGTAGTGGAGTAGTAGTATCAGCAGCAGCAGGAGGA